AGCCGATCACGCACATATGAAGCCACTTGCCCCGGCAGAACCTCCCCATAGGAGGACCCCGCCTTTCGCAGCAGCTGCCGTAGCGCTGCCTGCGGACTAAGTGTAGTGTAGTGTAGTCGGGGGCGCGGGTTGATCCGCAACCGCCCTCTTGATGCGTCCCAAAGCCGATGCCTGCGCCTGATTCTTGGGCTGCAATGGCCAGAGCCGCTCATCATCAAAACCAGCGAGGTGGTTCACTGCCCAAGCCGCCCCCCTAACCTTGTTCAACAGAGTCCTCCTCCGCTGAACCCGTTGCTTCGAGCGACGGCTCCGCAGCTCGCAAACCGACCCCTCAAAACCACCATCAACCGGCACAGGCAAAGGAAGAAGGTCCCCAAACCGGCTGACGGGTTCATGGAAAACTGTGTTGGTGCCAAAACGGTCCAAGGCCCCAGCGCAGGCACCCTCCACGCTGAAGCCCTCGCCCCGATCAGGGGGCGCCCTGCTCGTTCTTCTTGCCCTTGCCACCGCCTTTGCCCGACTTGTCGGGCTTGTCGTCCTCGTCGTCACGGCCTCGGCGTTGAAGATGACGGCGTTCTTCAGCGGCAAGCCTCGACTGCTTCATCACCTCGGCCTTGGCCGCTTGCCTCTTGGCAGCGTGTTGGGTCAAAGCTGGATCCACGATGCTGCCGTCGGCCATCTCTCGGATGCCCATGATGTCATCCGCCCCCTCGTACGACGGGGCGTCAGGACGTCCTTGATGAGCCATCTCGATTAACGCCCGGCGACGATTCAATGCTTCGGCAGATGCTAAGGCCACAATGTTCAGCTGGTCGTACGATGCCATGAAGTTAAGGACTCTGCAAATCGAAGCATGTTCATGCACTGAGCGATCCGAGGCCCTAACTCCCGACTTCTTCAGCCACGACTCATGGTGCAAGACAAAGTCCAGCCCCATCCGTCGCAGCTGACGTACATCCCTGTACATCGTCCTGGGCCCTTGTAGCGGGAAATCGTCGAAGTCCGCCTCCAAGTACTCCGGCAAAGCCTCAGCGAGGGTTCGCCAACGTTCTTCAGCCGCATCAAAAAGCACCGGCAACACCCTGATGTCACGGTTGGCAAGGGCGTCCTGATCCACCTCACTCGCCAGGATCTGCCTTAGACCTGGCGCTTCCTCGGCAGAAACACCTCTCACCAGCACCACGGAACCTTCACGAGCATAGAGCTTGTAGGATTCACCCCCAACCTTCAGCACCGGAACATCCCCAGGAGGCACCACCTGCTCCCCCAGGTTCTGTCTACCTGAGTTGTAGACCACTACCCAGGCATCGGGCTCCTCCGTGACTTCTACGGGAGATGGTGTCTCCACACCGTGGGCCATAGAACCCACAGGGTGTCTCCTACCGTCTGGGCCCAGCTTGCCCGTAACCCGGCGCCGCGGTCCATCGCGGTGAGACTCAGCATCCCTAACCAACCTGAGCAGTTCCTCCCGGGCAAAGGCTCCTTGTCCGGAATGCTTAGCCAGGTATGTATCACTCTCACTGATCCCCTGAGGCAGGCGGCCATTGTGCATCCGGCGAATCTCATTGTAAACCTCGCCTTCCACGAGCTCCGTCTCAAAGATGTCCCGATCCGGGGTTACCACCACGACCCGGTCGCCCGAGAGGCACCGTAGCACTACTCGATGAAGGTAGAGGGAATCGTCATCCACGTAATTGACGAGCACGTGATCGAGCGGCAGCCAATTTGTCATGATCACTAGACTCGGGCACTGGCAGCTCTAGTTCCAGAGAGGGACTATTGCGAACGGGGACTCTCGAAGCACGACCTGAAGCACCGACTGCCGGCCGCAGCAGAACACAGCCCCAAATGATCAGGCACACCACCACGCCCAAGCAGATCCCGAATGCAAAATCTCGAAGACGAAGCAGATCACACTCGAGAGCGCCCCGCTCCTTGATGGTCTCGATCTGAGTCTCACAAACCACCAGCTTACGCAGCAACAATCGACAACTTTCAGCCTCGGATTTCCAATACTGTCGCTTGTCCTCACAGCTGAAGCTTGAAGGATTCTCCTGCCACGGTTCTTTCAGGCCGGTCCAGCCTGCCAAGACTAGCCTCGCCAACTCCAGCGAAAGACCTTTCACAACCTCTCGCCAGACTCCCATGCGCAGCTAAAGAATCCCTAGAGAGCAGAGGAACTTGAGAGAAAGATGAAGTCAGAATTCGGAAGCTCTCTGCAAAACAGCACAAGTGCACATAACATGATGATCACTGCTGCAAGCCATCATATATGTACCTGCTCCTGAACGGAATGACTACCCGACCCTCCACCACGCCGCCCTGACAGCCCCAGGTCACTCTTGAAACAGAGCCTCTCCGGCTCCGTCCAGCCTCAGCTTCGAGGGAGCTTGCCATCGTTCTGCTTGTCAGAACAGGAATCTTCCCATGGAGCTTCAATGTAAAAGCCAAGCTGCTCGAAGTTGCCGCTCACGACTTTGAGCGTCTGATCTGCGATGACCTGGCCCGCACCACAAGCAACTTACCCGGCCCTCGCCTACGTCGCACTTCCTCCTGGTCCTATCCACTTCAAGGCTTCCCCCGTCAATTACCGGGAAACAGACGGAAACCCGATCCTTCTGCAAAGCCGAGGCGCATGGGTGCACTGCTTCTTCCAGGACGCGTCCGGTTGCCGGAGGCGAGCGCAGAGCCGGGAGCCATCGAAAAAAGCGTCCTCTCAGTGCGAGCGATAGATAGCCGTGAGTGAAGGGGACTGGACTGGACTTTCCTGTTTCCTTGCTTTGAGGAGCAGAGTGCTGGAGCCAGGGCAGTCCCCCCCACTTCTTGACTTTAGCCTGCTGATGCAGATCCTTCTAACAGAACTTCGGTAACTCGAAACGCCCCAGTGTGCATGCCCAGCTCCTGGGCATCTTTCGTCCATGCTCCACCTGATCAAAGATCCAGGTTGTGGGAATGCTGGCAACATTGGCAACCCTCTTCACGTGTCTCTGTTTCCGCAGCTGTTCCAGAACTGCGTCCTGACGGCCTGTCAAAAACTCACACAAACAATCATCACAAAACCCTCAACTCTTCCCCCAAGGGTGTCTTGCCTCCGTCTTTGGACCCGACAACTCAAGAGGAGAAAATAACACCCTGCCTGGGAGGACGACCTCAGCACCAGGTTGGGCAATGCCCGGGACTTCTTTGTACACCTTCTCCCGAGGGACCTGGGATGTCTTCTCATCACCACCGGTTCTCGAGAAAGACCGCGGCTCACGTGAATTACCGGTTCCGGGACATGAGGGCGAAGGCCTGCAAGGGCGACTTGCTTCTGCTGCAGCCGGCTGTTGCAGGTGAATAACACGTGCGACACAGTGAACAATCAGCTACCTTGAAACAATGCAACCTTGCAATCGGAACACAAAACGAAAAGGACATCGTCACCCCCAAACTGCCAGCACACAGCGGGTGCAGCAGCCAGGCTTCCCGCTGACTGCCCTCGAGAGATATCGAAGTACTGCCCCAGCGTCACGCGACACTTCAGCCTCGGCTTCACGCCTACCCCCAGAGTGGACGACACCTTTCTTCTGCCTCCCGCATGGGGACACTTTGGCTTGACCAGGCTCATGTGTTTTCTGAACACGGAGGCACGCGCGGATATCACCCAGCTTCTTGTGACTTCTGGCGCTGGCCGCGCAAAAACAGTCTACAAGAAGAAATCGTAAACGGTCAATCTGTGGTGAGAGCCCCTTTTGTTAATCACTTAATGAACTCTCGGCTCGGGTCTGTGATGTGCAGAGCGTCTAAGGCGAAACCAACTGCCGACCGGGAAACGATGATGTTGATGATGGCCCAGACTAGGATGATGAGCATGATGACGATAACGACGATGACGATGACGATGGTGATGATCATGATAATGACTATGATGATGACGATGACGATGACGATGGTGATGATGGTGATGATGATGACGATGATGACGATGACAATGGTGACGATGACGATGATGATGGTGATGATGACCCTGATGACGAGATGATGATGATTGTGATGATGATGGTGGTGATGATGATGACGATGAAAGCGTGATGACGATGATGACGTTGATGCTGGTGATGGAGGTGTAGATGCTGACGACAGGAGATGGAAGTCTGAAATGAACAAGTGTGACAGTGTGCGAATTGACAAACTTAATGTGGAAAATGCAGAACTGCGTGCAAGTAATGCTCCATCCCACTGAGAACAGGACGCAATGATCGCCTTAGATCATCCAGAAGCCAAGGTCCGAGTCTGCTCGTCACCGTTTGTCTTGGAGCTCTTTGCATCCACGACCCCACTCACACTTCGAAACTGGCTCGGTGAAAAGCTGAATGCAAACCCTGAGCTAGCTTTCCCGAGGCCCATCGTCGAGAAAAGCTTACCGGGTCTAGGTCATGCACACCAAGTTTAGGCTCTATCAAGGCCTCCAAACTGGACTGAGTGCTTACAAGCCTGGGGCACTGGCCAGGACGAGACACCGGCGGAACATTCCAGCAAGGCATCGCATTTGCAGGCCCGAACAGGCTTGGGCAACTTCGAGGGGTGGTTACAGTAAAGTGGTGAATGGGCGTGGGTAGACTGCGCTAGGGCGGCTAAATTTCGTGGGAGGGCTCCTCCCGACTCCGGGGTGTGGTTCGCGGATGCTCGTTGTGCTCCAACTTTGTGTCGGTGGACAAATTCACGCGCAGTCTGGTTGTGGGCTTGAATGTTGTCCAATATGCAGAAATCATGGGTGCTGGCTTTCAATTATATCCGCTTGCTGGGCCAGGCCATGTCATGAGGCCCTCCATCATCTGCATGGTGCAGTTGAGCAGCTTCATGCATCGCACATGTCTTCAGTGTCAAAGCCAGGGCTCTCGGGAGTCTGAGAGCTTTTAGCCGAGGCCTCGTTTGCAGTGGCAGAACCCGAATCGAAAGCCGCCCAGCACTCAAGAAGCTACCTGACAATAAGATCGTCCTGGGCCCTCTTGGGCAGCTGCATCCGACCAGAGCGCTGGCCGTCGTCTTTGAGGAAGACCTCTGTCACCTGCACCCGAACCGGAACGATGAGCTTACAGGAATGTGCCCACGCAAGTGATTGAGATCGCCAACTCAACCGACGTCCGATCGACAGGGGAAGGAACACTGCACAGTACTCGTTCGATCGACGGCTAGGCACAGAAGGTGCAGCAACAGAGCGCTGCTTTACCGACAAGGGAGCACTTCCTGGGTTGGGGGATGAAAATATGAGAAACGCTCCTTGACTCCTTGCAACTACAGCTTCAGTGCTTCACTGTACCAGAGCGCGCAGGATTGCAGAGGCCACGGAGTCCAACGACAAGCACGAAAGGACATGCTCCGTGTAACACGGTCCTGACACGGATGTACTGCTGCTGCATGACTGCATGACTTGACTGCATGCTGCTTGCAGAGAAGGGATCTGAGAGACTGCTTCTGGTGCCATACCACTGCTGCGCATTGCCATTGCTTGCTCAGTAGGAAACCCAGGGACTCCGGCGTCCACTTCCACACTTCAGGATTCCTTCAAAAGTGAGGCTGTGTGCCACAGTGCCGTCAGAGTGCCATGCCACTGCCACGCTGCTGCAATGCAGATAAGGGCGACGCGCTACCCACAGTGCATCCCTGAGAATGGGCCAGACAAGATGTGGGGCAGCTGATCCGTGCGCTCGGAACCTGTGAGGTGGCCACTTGGCCACTCAAGTACTGGAAATCAAGAGGTCTCAGCAAAAGATTTTCGTACGATCCACTCATGCACTCTGCTTGACAAGAGCAGGCAAGAGCTTGAATGCAAAAAGCATTGGTGATTGTGCCATTTGCTGCTTCTGCAGGTTGAACGATAAGGCCGTCACAGGCATGAGGTTTAACCTTGACTGTTCGGATCCGGCGATCCACAGACTGCACTGCATTGGGTTGCATTGCCAATTGCTCAGCTGGAATAAAGGTGGCTTGCGCAGCCGGGTCATGAGGTCGCAACTCCATCGTCGCCCGTCGCTTAGAAGCCCCGGGACAGTTGCTTACCTGCCTTCGTTGCTTAACCGTTTACCTGGCGCTGCAGGGATGCACGATGAGCTTGCGCAATACATGTCAAGCATGCATCAACGAGGCCCCTCGTGAGACTGCAACGGCCCTGTCGCTACTTCTCCTAACTTATTGCGGGCAGTCCACCACTCTGTCCTTTTCGGGACGACCGGGCCTGGCCAACCTTGCCAAACTCTTCCCGCAAGAACATCTCGGTGCTCCCTGCAGGGATGCCGCCGACCCACAACCTCATTGGACATTGCATCATCTGCTTCAACAACGACTCATCAGGTCAAGCCAACCCAAAGAAATCCCACAACCCGCAAGTTGAAGCGTACGTTACATTACTATGACATCTGCAAGTGCTCCAAGCTCGAATAGCGATCTCTCGGAAAAACTCGAAACCCCTCGTTCCCTCCAGCTGTGCCCGTGGCTTGCACGGATTGTCTGCACGAGGCCTAACCGAAAGAGGCCTGAGCATCAATGGCCAGACAGGACTGAATTGGGTTGGGCCTCTGCCTGTCACAGCGTCCTGCAAACCAGCTCCAGCGGTCCTTCCAACACAAAATCGAAGCACCGGGACCCCGGCTGTGGGGGCTCCGGCATCGGCGGCGGAGGCATCTGGAACTGGTCCTCAAATTCTCGGAGAGTTGTGACCGCGTCTTGCTACTGGGGTCGGTCCCTGAAGGTCGAGGTCGTCTTCCTAGAAGCAAATGCCATGACAAGAGGCTGCATAAGATACGTCTCGAACATGAGCAACACAAGCGAGCTCCTTGCTCGGAAAGGCCCGACATAATCCCGACCCCCTTCTCCTGCGCGGCGCCCATTGCCTGTGCCGCGAAAGCTCCCGTCCTCATCCGAGCATCCGAAAGCGACTGTTGGGTTGGGAATCGGCTTTGGCAGAGTAGCTATAGAGTTCAGTGAGTCCAGTGACTAGAAATGAAGTACTGAAGCAGGAAATGATGTAACCTCAAGCAAGACCCGCCAGACGTAGAGGTCGCAAACATGTACCGTGAGGGGATACCTTCACCGTTCTTAACCCTTCTTGCAAAACTTGGGGCACATTTCATTTGTCATTCCTTGCTCGTCTGCAGGTCCGACAGTCGCTCGACTCAAGGTCGCATGGAGAGATCGTGACGGTATACGACGAGATGCTCGTGCGACGGCGTGCCCTACAATCAAACTTCACCTGCAGACAACGCATAGACGGCAATTTGTTGAACCCTGCTTGCCTTCTGTGTCCACCGGAGAACACAGGAGAGAAAGGGGTCCTGACAGAGATCCCGGAGACAGCCGAGGACCGGACGCAAAGGCCGACAGGACTTCCGTGGCTCCAGTCGAGTCCACAAAAGTGACAAAGCCCCACCTCTGCGCTGGACAGGCTACAAGCGACGAAGCGCCTGCCTCCAGTACCCAACAGCAGTGGAGAATCGACCACAAACCAGGATGCCCGGCATGCGGCCCTGGACCTTTCCGTCATCGCGTATGTACACGTCCTGGACCTCACCAGAGCACTTTGCACACGTCATGAAATCAGGAGGAAAGACTAAAATACGAATCATCCCATAATATCTGGGCTCCAAAGCTCCTCCATCATTCCCAGACAAGCTTGCTTGATGCCTCTGCACATGCCGGTCTTCGGGGTGCGGGCAGCTCCGTACTTCGAAAACTCGTGGTACATGAGGTCCTGCAAGCAGATAATGACAAACACCGCCAGACCCAACATAGGACAAGAAGAAGGGACTGAAGTGAATTCTCTCGTCGGGGCTTTTCAGTTGCCCAGGAATGTCGCGCTCCGGCTCTCGATTCGTGTTGAAGGACTTCGGGTTAACGAAATTCAGCTCGAGGTTAGAAGCCGTCCCAGGCACCGCAACCCCAAAACTCGAGATGGTCCCCGTCCTTCGTCGTTCCCAAAGGGATCTGTCCCACCCACCTGCAGCACGGATGCCGACAAGGGCTCCAAGCCCTTCTCTCTGCACCGCCATAATCCAAAAACCCTTCACCATGAAGTAAACATCAAACTCCATGAGGCCCGGCGCTAAACCCGCCCGATCTAGCAGGCAAGCCACAACTTGTTGCCATGGTCGTTGGTGTGCGTCGCAAGCTTGATCTCCAAGCCTCTCGAGTCGGTCTCTTGCAGCTTGGCATGGGCCCAGCTTGGGAAGCCCTTGAAGGCTCGGGCCCTTGGAAAAACCCCTTTGTCAGAAACCCCCAGGCCATCTCTCTAGCGAAGTTCGTCGAGCCAAGCGGGCCTGAGAGGTTGCCAGGCGCAGGCCTGGGGCTGGGGCTGTCGAATTTGGTAGCCGACGTGGGAAGCACCCCTCTTTCTTGGGCCCAGACTGCTCGTAGGGCGATTGCCGGCTTCCCTGTTTCGTGCAAGGGGCAAAATGCAGGAGCCGGCAAACTTGCAGGTTAACCTCCCCGCAACACTATCGGTGTTACTGGGCCAGCGGACATCCTCCCTCTTTGCGTTGAAAGCCGCTGCCTTGCCCTTCGACTGCGAGTACCCGATCTTGATGGGTCCCGCCATGCCAGCCGGCGTGTTCCTGCGCTCGGCTACACTGCACCAAGTCTGTTCCTGGGCCTGGGCTGCCTTGGGGGGCATCCTTCTGCCATTCGAATTGTAACTCGAAAGGGATCCTCCGCTACCGTGAAGAACCGATCCTTCCCCAATAGGTTGTGATGCTGGAAGTTTACAATTACGTAACATGCTGCTCGTCACCTTGCAGTCTACAGGTTCTATGCGACAGTCTCATTTCGCTCCTTTCATCTAGACCCTGGACTCAGATGAGCACTGAATCTCGAACTGCAGACTTCTTTAAGCCGGCTAGGCACAGCCAAATGATCAGGTGCCAAGCTGTGCGCTGAAGCCGTAAACAAGGCGCGCACCCGTTCAAATTGTTCACAATCCACTGGGACTGCGCCTGTCGCAACTTTCAAGTCAAGATCCGGTTGCTCAGGGCACTCGCGCTGCAAGCTCGTTTGCAAGCTGCACTGCCCGGAACATGCTACAGCACCCGCTCAACTGTCAACCCTGCAGAGGCCCAGCTAACTTGGTGGCACAAGCTAGTACCAAGCTCAGGCGAAGACCACATCACCCATTTCCACCAGGGCGGCACGATCCTTCGCTCGCTGGGGATTCTCACAGCGTCGCCTTTAAGGGTTGAGTCTAAGGTTACGAGGCTGGGCTGTGTTTTCGTGGGATGTTGGAACATGTTCATGGCTCTTAGGAAGATACCTCTCCGGTCTTGCTTGCCCTAGTTTTGCAGGTGCGGGCTTTTGCAGACCATTAGAGGTGGAAGAGCAAGGCCTCAGGCAATCGTGCTTGGGAGGATTTCCGATCTGGAGGCCTGTCCTTTGAACTAGAAGAATAAAGTTGCCACATTCACCGAGGGCCGCACGGGCATGCCGTTGTGGGGCAGCACTTTGCACCGCATGACCTTTGCCATCACAAGAATCACAAGAAGGCTCACCCTCGGCACGAAGAGAACAACAGAGAAAAGCATCCATGCCAGGGGCACTCGACAGAAAGTCATGAGAAAGCCAAACAAGAAACACTTTCCGAGGTGGGCCTAAGAGCGAGAGCTGCACACCATGGATCTGCTCACTCGAGGCCCCAGCCATTCCGTAGTTTGCAAAGAGATCACGGAGCCGACCCTCATCGATGTCCATTGGCCTCGGGCCAAGAAGACGAGTGCCATCTTGGAACCCCAAGGAGAAGGAGCGGGAGCGGCACGTGCACCGTGAAGGACGAGCGACCAGGCGACCAGGCGACCATGGAGCTTCAAGGCCACTGAGTTGAGGGCAATCCGGTCACGAAGAGGTTGCACGATGGCTCGTTTCCCCTCAGCAAAATTGTGATTACAAATAATGCGGGTTGCCACCATTCACCAACAGGGGCATGGGCAGTCAACATCAGCCCGAACAGGCAAACCAGGAGATTTCCAAGCTGAACAAACCTGCAGAATACATCTCGGTGCTTTAAACTGCAGTCCAGGCCTTCCACCAGCTTTGCCATAGCCACCCGCACCTCAACGATTTCATGATTTCTGATCGTGTGCTCGGAAGGTCAAGCTGGCAAGAGCCCACATTCGGACATCATGACGCATTCCTGACATTGCACAGCACAAGAGTGCTGTGCAGCGACACGAAACTCACCAAACCGACCAAGCATCCGGCCCATGCCCGCCATGCCCATGTTTGGCATGCCACATCCGCAGCCCATGTTATTCGGGCAGCAGCCTCCGCAGCAGCCACAACCGCATCCACCGCATCCCCCACAACCACAGCCGCCACAGCCGCCACAGCCGCAGCAGCCTCCGCAACAGCCCCCACAGCCACAGCCACCGCAGCAACCGCCGCAGCAGCCGCCACAGCCGCAGCCACCACAACCAGGGCAACCACCACAACCACAACCTCCACAGCATCCTCCGCAGCCGCAGCCCCCGTCACAGCACCCATAACCGCAGCCTCCACAGCCACAGCCTCCACAACCACAGCCTCCACAACCGCAGCCACCACAGCCACCATAGCCACCGCAGCCGCAGCAGCCGCAGCCTCCACAGCCGCAGCCTCCACAGCCGCAGCCACAACCCCCACATCCTGAACAGCCGCCACAGTTGCCACAGCCGCAGTTACCACAGCCACATCCACCACAGGCATCGCAACCCCCACAACCACAGCCACCGCAGCAACCTCCACAGCAGCCTCCACAGCAGCCGCCGCAGCCGCATCCGTCACATCCACCACACCCACCGCATCCACCGCATCCACCGCATCCACCACATCCACCACATCCACATCCTGCGCAAGTGCAGCCTCCTCCACAGCCATTGCAGGCGCAGGCAGCATTCGTTGGCATGCATGCACCCTGTGCAGACTGCACAGTGACATCGCCGGCAGGGCCGTCGGCTGCCATGCCCTCGGCCGCACTGGGCGCTCCTTCGCAGGCTGAAGCCTGTCAGGGTCGTATATAGGAAACCCACCATGTCATCATCTCATGCTGCAACATGCCCGTCACCGCAGCCTGTGGAGAGTTCGGCATGCTGACGACCGTGCACTTGAGCGCTTCGTAGCTCTGCTGGGCCTGACAAGCCGCTGCCCTTTGGCCAACTGGCAGGAGTCATCTGGCTCTCACGAACCTGCGAACAATCACCTCATGTGCACCCGGATAGTCGTCGTCATCACCAGCAGCAGCAGCGGCAGCAACGGCAGCTGCAGCAGCAGAATGTCATCCTACATCGTCATTCTGATCAGAGTATGTCAACACGCGACTGATGCACCATAACAAGACTAGACTGAACAATCATTATCGTTATCATAAACATCATCATCATCACCATCATCATCATCGCCAATCATCAGGTGCATCATCGTCACCGCTGCATTCGTCATTGTCGTCATCGTCGTCAGAGTTGCTTCATCGCCATTGCTGCCATCACCATTGAACTTGCCATCCTCGTCTGGGCCGCGTTCCGCGAGGTTTCACTCCGAGCTTAACCGACTCCAACAGAAAAATCAACAGTACCTAAGCTTGGGCTCCGCTCTCCTCCTGAAACCCAAGTCCTAGTGACCCTTGTGGCCTGCGTCAAGTTGCAATGCAGACCCGGGCCTGGGAGACGTCTGCCTCCACCTGCACGACGGAGCCTGTGGAGATCTGCTGTATGCCAAGGACCTCGTTGCAATTTCGATCATTGAGTCATCAAAGGACGCCAGAAATTCCATAAAGCCTTCCGGTTTCTCCATTGTCAGCTGACCCTGCGGTCGCATTGGCGTCGGTGAGATCCACATGGGGTCAGTTCTAGTCACTGCAAATGTGGTGAGAGTGCCTGTGCTTCTTGACGATCCCCGAGCATGTCAGCACTGAGACCGTCCTATCCAAGAACGCACGTATTCGACGAACTGCAAGTTCGGCTCGCAATTCTGGAGTACGAGTACAAGGTCAAGAACCTTTGAATCGTAGGCCCGGTTGTTGCCGAGGCAAGCACTGATCGCCGCACCACGATGTCCAGGGCACCATCCTGCGCTGTTCGGAACCGGCCCTTCTCGGTGCAACACAGATTTTGTCGCTGGGAGCCAATGCGGAATGGAGTGATATCTCACTCGGAGATTCGTCAGACCCGGTCGGCTGCGTTACACACCCCAATCGCAAACCCTTCAAGAACACTCTTCGGTGCTGCATCTTTCGTCGCGCCTGCACGCCGTCCGGCTTCACTAGACCTCAAGCTTTTCACGATCACAGAACCGCAAACGATCATCCTCAATTCCCGGTTCCTGCAACTTCCTGATCTGCTAGGTCGCCCGAGTGGCATCAAGTTGTACATGTAGCCATGATTCGCGCTTCTCTACCACTTGTAAAACAGTGCGCCTCCAAGTTGGCTCCACTTGGCAGACGCAGAAACGGTACAAGGTTCCCGTTTGGGCCGCAGAGAACAGAGTGGCAGTCATGGCTCGGCCATGCGGCAACTGAGCGCAAGGCCCACTCCTTCGGCCTCATCCCAAGACTTCACCACCCCATTCAGCCTTCAGCGCTGGCATGTCTGCCCTGTGTTTCATGAGGCTGAGTCTTCGCGCAGCCACGGGACTACAGTTCAGCATTAGCCGGACTTCACCCCTCTTGGCTCTCGCTGGGCTCGCGACGTCTGAGCCATGGCCTGGCGCGACGGAGCCTGAGACGCGACGGAGCCGCAAGAAAAAACAACTCCCCGGAAGAATCCCGCACCGAAGACCTTTCAGACCCTGAGAGGCCGACGCGAGCCAAGCACGGCTCAGGAGAAGGGTGCTCGCCACGCTGCGAAGAATCTACTACTCTTGGCTCTTGGCTCATATTGGTGAGGTGTGCTCCTTCTCTAAGGTGCCAAACCCAACACACCTGCTAGGACTGAGCATAGCTAAGGTTTGGGCTTCCAGTCGATGGGTCAAGGCTGCAAGGGAAGTTTCTTCTTGATGTAGGTTCTTTGAATATGGCTGGCATAGGCTTAAACCTACACGTGCAAACGAAGCAATCGTATTGATAGTATCCCAAAAGTAAAGCGCCTGGCTCAGCCGAAAGCTGCAGAGCATCCGTGAGTGAAAGAGCAGACTATCCTGCAGAGCCGTTCCTGGCCGGTCCAGAGCCCAGAGCCCGACAGACTCGGAGATCCATCGACCTACCTGTGCACCCACGTCTGGCAACTCCTATTACTTGGAAGATGTGCCCCAAAGTAGGCCTGGACCGCACCACAACAAGCTCAGTCCCAGCAAAACAGGCATCACAACAAGCATCAAGACAAGAGCTTTGCGGCGGATCCACCGACGGGGTTGTGCAAGGACGTGGGCCTGGACAGAACACACCAAACTTTGGATATGTCCCAGTGTACCGCGTACCGGTTCAGTGCTCCACGGGCCATGTAACCACTCCAGCTTTACTCTTGCTTTGGTAGACCTAGGGCACCGAAGATCTTGACTCGTGTCTAACAGAACCTGCGTCGTCGCGCAAACAGATTCAGCGGAGCGGTGGCACAGGTATGTCTTGTCCCTTTCACCCTTGCTTAAAGCCTCAACCGCCAGCAGCAGTTTCCTAAACCTCACAAACTTGGCATCCCAAAACTTGACAACACCTTATGATGCATATGTAAGCCCTATACAAATGCCACCAATACACAGCCTTCTGCAACCTGATGCTAAAGAAATGACAGGAAAACAAAGCTTAATTGGAAGCTTCAAGAACCCCAAAAGCCTGCTCTAGGCTGGCTGGTGAGCTCTGCCAGGTCCAAACTCAAGCTTGGGTTTAGGGTTTAGGGAGTTTAGGGCTTGTACGATTCTTTGAGGGCTTTACTAGGATTCCTCCTAGGGTCTCAAGACTCAGGAGCCTCGAACTCTCGTCGAAGCAAGCTGCAAGAATCTGTCACCGTCTGCCTACCGCAAAATCTGGGTGGCTGACTGTGTCGGACTTTCACAAGCTCCTGCAAGACAGGCTACGTCTGCAAGATCCCTTCAAGCCTTCCTTCCCGATTCGAGAAGCCACCAGAATACCGTCCATAAGCAAGGCAACCACATCTGTCATCGATTCGAAGGGACACTGTTCAAACATGGAGATCCTGAACTCGCCAAATGAAGCTGCAAGGGCCGGGAATCCAAACAAAAGAGCACAGGCAGAAGCATGACAATCAGACAGGATGCTTGCGAATGTCTTTTGCAAGACAAGATACAACAGGTCATACTCGCGACCTGCTACATTGGCAGAAGAATTGAGCGCAACTGTCAAGCCGCTAAATGTCCAACAACTCCATGATCCTAAACCAGGGGCTCCTCCACAGACTTTTGTGCCGCACGAGCGGCCTGCGAATCGCGGCGGTTCTTTGCCAAACCACCCTCTAACTGTGTTAGTCCGTTGTGGGGTTTCCGCCATGGGCTCTCTTGCACCGTCAAAAAACCCTGGAACGACAGAAGAGACAGCTCGGCAAAGAGACAAGACATGGTAAGAGCATCTTTACCAACCTCCGAGCGACATGCCCCTTATCGAACAAGCACCCGAAACAGCACAACCCTCTTTGGCACGAGATGTCAGCCTGCCGTCCCGTGCAAGCAGTTCTGCAAACGAGGGGCTTTACCCCCTCTCGACTTGAAACTGCCTCCTTGATCATCCAGACGGGCGGTTGGGGCGCCGCCTGATGTAATGGAGTAGCATAAAGTAGGATGGCAACTTCCCACAACCTGATTACGAAGCGAAACATCTTTTCCCGTCGGCTCTTTACCAGAGAAGGATTCGTTTGACGTTGGCGTCAAAAAACCACGTCAAGGCTGTGTCTTGAAGAAGCCCGAAGATAAAGCGGAATGTCTGGCTTTTGCCACATCTATCGCTTGTTCATAGCGCGACAAGTTGAAACTCAATAATAGCCTGCGCCTGAAGCTCAACACTCTCGTCGCCTCAGCAGCGCCTGCTCTGCGCTTCGGAGGCCTTCTTTCACTGAATGCAAGTTATTGAAACTTATCCAAGATTTTGTAGCCTACAGGGCTGCTGGCACTTGCAAATTCGTTGCGACTGACGGACACAAATCTCATCTCCGATGATGCATGGGCCATGTCACTAGAGAATCTGCATCCCATGTCAACAACACCGTGCCGTCAGTGCAAGCCGCGACTCATTAGGGTTTCAATCTTGGGTTCGGAGGCTTGTTGGACACCGCACTAGGTGAAGATGCATGCGAATGATTATGTCAGGCTCTGTCTTCGACAACCTGACCCGCAGACCACACAATCCCGGCTAAAAACACTCCAATCTAAGCGACAAGTGCTGCTGCACATAAGTAGGCCAACAAATCACAGAAATTGAAAGCCGGCAAATTTCCAACCTAAATTGAACATGCAACACCGAATAAACCACGATGCAATGCCTGACTGTGCAACATGACTGTCCAACTCTTGCAAAGAAGGATTGGTTAGCAGTCCACTGGCAAGGAAAGATTCATTAGCAGTCGACTCAGTGGCCGGCATGACGTCCAGGTTGCGACCGGGAATTTCCGGCAGGCCAATTATTCTGCAACTGTGTCGTCAACATTTGCTGCTCGGAGACTTAACTTAAGCGAGACATGATGCTGAAGTGCCTGTCAGACAGACACACATGCCATGCTGATGCTCTGAACCAGAGGCCGAAGAAGCGTGAAGCTGCAGGCCAGCGTTGAGAATCTTTCCCATTAAATGCGAACCCATGTCAATTTTGTCAGTGCACACACAGCCCACGAACATCATCTAAACATGCCTGGAAATGTCCAAGGATGTTCCCGCAAACCATGGAGTTGAATTATGGCCAACGGCTCACACTCACATGTCGGCTTGTACTTTTACCTTTGTCAAAACGTTGCAAAACGCGACCAACACTTGTGCGACGAGCGTTTGCTGCTGCTCAAAGGCTCAAAATGCATGCGAAGAATACGGCAACCAATCACAGTATGCTTCCAACCAAAAAGGTTGATTTGTCGTTGTTGTCATGATTGTCAAGAACGGGATATTACTGCTCGTTATACGGTTATTTGAGACGACAACGATGATGAGGACACTGATGGCAGTGTCATGTTTGGTGAAAACTGTTTCGCATCCAACCTCACGTGGTGCCGAATTGGTTTCTGAAAAGAAACAAGATCGCACAACTTTCATTTCTTGAGCCATGATTTCGTACGAACAGGAATTCACATGATTAGACTGACTAGACAACATAAAATCTTGATGGGCATGCATGGGTGAAAAGTTTCCACACCCCGCCTCGGTGTATGCGCTCAGCAACGCACCGTCTGAAAGTTTGCCACACCACCTCGAAACAAAAGTGCACTTAGTTCATGAACGTTTGCATCGCAGATTAGCGATAGTCACGCTACGTATGTGCGGATTGAGCTCATATGTTCAGAGTTTCAGCTACGACTGTACAGCAGCTCTACGAAGTTTTGTATGTGAAGCTTGACACACAAGTTGTTTGACTCACCCAAGCGGAAGCGTTCCAAGAAAGCAGTGACTTAACTGTGCTGTTTGCGGCCACTTGTGAGCATTCAACGATATTCATGTCGGTGCATGCAGCACACAGCTAATGTTGCTGCCCGATGCAAAGATTAGGATGGCAATGGAGCCATCTTGACCGGCAAATACAAAAGTGAGATTGTGGTTTTCCAGCTTTTCGCATAAGCTGTCTCATCATGAGCATCGCAAGCTACATATAATATCAGCGTTTCGCAGCCTTTGTACAACGCCAGGTGCCAAGTGATAAATCAAGTGCTGTGCAGTCCTGGCTTGTACCGTGGTGGCATCATGGTCACATTGAGCACCATGGTCTCTGGTTGCTCTACGGCTGGACAATCTTGGCGTGGCTTGGCGTGGCCTTATCAAAAGGCTTGGAGCATCAGCCTGTTATGTTTTCTGCCGTGTTCATGCGGGCATTGCATCTTAACCAAAGCACCGCAATCCATTTGGAGCTTGAACGAATTAAAAGAATTGAAGACCTAATTAAACTGCGTTTCTCCAATTCTTTCTTTTTAAACAACGTAACCTTCAACTTCCAATCCAAACCAAGAAAGCGAAAATTGCAAAACAAACGTAAACAGACAAAGGCACCGAATCCGATTTGATTCCAACCCAGAATAAAAGATTTTATGAAATAAGCATGGAGTTACAACCCAGGTTTGAAACCTAGAATTCTAACCTCCAGGTTTGGAACCTGGATTACCCAGGTTTACCCAGGTTAAAGTCCAGGAAACCCAACCCAGGTAAAACCCAGGTTCCAACCAAGATTTGGAACCCGGATTGGGACCCAGGGTTCATCGGCCCGTCCACGCAAAAAAAAAAATCCCTCGTTTGCTCGCATTCAGTGAGTCAGCTTGCTCTCCGTAATGCATGGAAAGCAGGCTTATGCCTCCTGCAGGCCAAACAAGCCTATTCCAGTAGGTGATGCCGCAGAACAAAACATTGCGGCAGTCACCAAG